TATTTCCTGTTTCTGTCTATCATCCATGAAAATGCTTTGTTATACTTCACACCACTGTGGCTTTTTTCCTGAGTCAGCCATGCTGATGTCAAATTCTATTTGTTCCAAAAAACTACTTAAGCCAGGAGTGATATCTTTGTTCGCTGAACTCCCAGAATACTTTGCATATATTTTTTTTATCATTGTCATCAAAATGACCCACCATTTCCTGAGTGTTCACTGTACGCCAAACATTGGATTGCATCATTTCTATACATTATTTTGTTTAATTTTCATAACAATACATGAACTGAGCTCTATTTTGCAGTTGCAACACCTGAAATTTAGAGAAGTTTAAGTGATTTACACAAAGAACACAGCTCTTGAGTAGAAGGTCACCTTTCACACATAGATAATTTCCAGGGCTCACATTTTGAACCTTCTTAGAACAAACTATCCCTCAGTTCAATACTAATAGCATAATAGATGCTTTTTTTCCCAGAGGTTATATCGGGTTTAAACATAAAGTTTTTATATTGCTTCTTTTATTTCTCTAATTATAACTTCTGAGACCCAGCGAGTCAATAAATATTGGTTGAATGATGGAATAGACATCTAGAATAAAATTATTACAGTAATTACTGGGCTTTAAAATGTATTTTAAAATAATTAATAAAGTCACACTGATAGCTGAAAATAAATCCTTATAAAAACTTAAAAGATGGAATTTATAGGTAAGCACAATTTATTTAACATTTCCTATGCCACTGTCTTATGTTCTGGAAAGTTCTGTGTGTAATACATAGGATGGCATGATACTCATTCATGAATTTCTGAAGTTCTTTATGTAGATAATTTGGTTCAGCTTATCAAAACGTTTGGTTTTTATCAACTTTATATATTACATACAAATTACTTTAATAATCTTTTTTAATGTGTCTGTTTGTTTCCAGGATGGCGTAGGGGTAGATGAGAAGCTGTCTTTACGGCGGGTAGCTGTGGTGGAAGATTTCTTTGACATTATCTATTCGATGCATGTAGAAACAGGGCCAAATGGAGAGCAAATTCGGAAACACGCTGGACAGAAGAGAACTTACAAAGCAGTAAGTTAAAAACATAGAAAAGAAGATAATAGAAAAAAATGCATTTTGAAATTTTGTATTACGTATGCTTATTAAAGGGAGTTGAGTAATTATAAATATTCAATCTCTAATGTAAATTATACTGTATGGTCCTACCAACACTTAAAGTATAATTATTACTGATTTTTTTTTTGTCTGTTCACTAGTCTATTGAATATAATTTAAATCTGTCTCTAGAATTCTCACATTGTTTTCTTTAAATATATATATAATGTGGTGGTAGTCCAGTCGAATGACCACAAGTGGGAAGATATGTTCATATTGCATATTTAATATATCTTAATATATGAATTATGAACTAAAAGATAGGAACTTTTGTCCTACCACGGTCTTAACAGCCCTTCCCCTTCAAATTATATCATTATGTTTCGATATTTTCTGTTTCATTGGTATATTAACTGGATAAGAGAATGTTATGTACTTTCTAATGTCACCTTATATTAAATGCATTTGTCCTGAAAGTTATATATTTAATTTTCCATGATGGACTATTAAAATATATGTGTTATTTTTCATAGAGCTAATGCCCTTGGACATTTAAAAATGGAAATATACAATGTTTTTGTTGTAAATTATATGAAGATTTAATTAACTATTAGATATTGAAGTATATATGTATTGTCATAATGGAATTATATATTATTTTTAAAGTTTTTAATTATCTCTACCGTTTAGTCTAGAAAATTTAACCTGGCTTTTTATTCAAGTGAAAACTTTATAAAATCATATTACTATAGATATTTTATTCTGTCTAGGGAAATGGAGTAGTAAATTATTCTTTTCCAATATGATCAAAATATACATCCAGAAGTATTTTACCAGCAAGCATAATAATATCCTTTTTCAGAATTTTTATTGAATTTTGCTTTTGGCTACCTTTATATTAACTGTTTTCAGCTATATTGATACACAATATCAGTCTGGATCCATTTTTTTTTCAGATACAGAAAAATGTGTGAAATGCTCAAAGTTTCATATACAGGTACATATGTTTGAAAATTAGCTACTGAGCGTAAGAAATAGCTTCTTTTCCATAACTATTTTTTGCTATATTGCCAGGGTCATATTGAATCTTTGTAGTGGCATAATAACCCCTAATACATGTTGTATTGATTCCTCCTTCTCTCTAGTTTTGTTTCTTGGCTGTTTCCAAATTGCATGGTTTGTGGGCAGGCTCTATTGTAAGTTTCCTTACATAATTCTGCCACATAAACTTTCTTTTGACTTAACACATCCCAGGAGACATTCTGATCATGACTAATGACAATGACCGAGCTTCTTGAGATATTTTTATACAGACTAACATTACTGAACATCCTCATTTTGCCTGTCTCCTAAGCCGGGGTTGTTCTGCTGGAAAGCAATAGGAAAAAAATGTATATTGATTTACTAATATCACTAACTGTGTACTTTTGCGATAATGCATCTTCATAAAATAGCTACCTGAACTTGATGGGACGTTGCAAGGCAGGAATGCTTAGTTTTAATTGTGTTAAATGAACAACAACAACAAAAATCAAAGAACAAGTGGTTTCATTGTCACTAGTAGAGTAACAGCCAAATCTGTTTAGGTGCCAAAAGCAATGTAAAATAATGTAATCTTTGATATGCATTTAGTAGAGACCTTTGATTAAAGGAGAAACATAAATCAATGATGTAGGCTCAATC